GAAATGGACTCTCACAGACATAGAAGCATTCATCCCCAAACAATGCTCCCAGGAAAGAGAAGCAGCCACCACAGTAGCCAGACATCTGACACACCTTGAACCCACTTTTTACACAGACAGTTTCATCACTTTTAATTTGTATCTGCAGAATACTTAAACCTATTTGTGCTTTTTTTGTATCAAAGAGATTTGTAATCACCCACTTCCTCTTTTTATTTAAATTAATTTTCTTTCCCTGGTTTGTGAATCATTCTTCACATAAGAACTGCCCAATGAGTCAGCCAGTCTAAAAAGAGAGACAAGCTTATCATTGCCCAAGATCAAATCCAAACCTGAAAATTATAGGCTTTGTATACAAGGCTCTTTGAGATACTGAAATTTAGTTCAGTTCACTTTAGTACACCTTCATCATGACTCATTGTGGTGGCACATCAGCTCCCTAGTGGAGGAGGAGGCTAATGACTCTTCATAGGAATCACTGATGCTCAAAAGCTCCATTCTTATAAATCCAGAAAGCCACGGGGCTCTAAAACTACCCTTTCTTGCTATCTATAGTCAAGCTCAGGGGAGGAAGTGATCCATCTATGGAACTGAATATATTTCATTCTACAAGTTTTGTTTTTGTTCTTTAAAGCCTTTCATCTGGTTTTGATTGACTTTATAGAACACTGCTTCAGATTAAGAGATTTTAGAGCCAGGTGTCTACCTACTCAGGGGGCTGAGATCTGATGATCATAGTTCAAAAGCAGCCTGTGACTCTTATCTCCAATTAACCACTAAAAAGCCAAAGTGGAGATGTAGCTTAAGTAGTAGAGAGCTAGCCTTGAGCAAAAAAGCTCAGAGATGGTGTCCAGGTCCTGAGTTCAAGCCCCTGGCCAGTACACACACACACACACACACACACACACACATTCACGCAAAATATGGGATGTAAGAGGCTGACACTTGCATTCATCAGGATCAACAAATGAATGTTGTGAAGGAGACTATGGCTAAATATATCCAATCTATAAAGGAAGTGTGATTAACTCTATAGAAATTATAGAAGACTGAACCTAGGTAGGAATAGGCTATCAGTTTTGGGATCTTTCAGTTCCCATTTTGCCTCCACAGCCCTTGAGACATTCCCACTTCTTCATGTTTCTGGCCCAGGAAACACTGGAACTATGGCTTATACCCATGTCACAATTTTGTATTTCTCCCATAGTTCCATCCACAGAGATTTTGTTTTCTTTTTACTATTCTTTTGTTGAATGTTATCTTTAATTAATATTTATATAGAGAAGGTTAGTAGCAAAACATGAATATACAGTGTCATTTTGTCTGAATATTTTCCAAATTTATGTAATCAAATTTTAATAGAAAAATTCAAACAATGTTCAGTGTAGGTAGAAATCTTTACCTTAAAAAGTTTTGATTTGAAGTAGGTGAAGAATATTCAAGAGAACATGAGTTACAAATAAAATAGAAAAAGATCAAGTTGCAGTCAAGCTGAACACATGATTTGAGAATCATAAGGTTCAGAGAAAATAGAAAAAACAGTCCTAATTATAAAAAAACACAAACAGATCAACAAGACAAATAATTTAATCGCTACATTTGATGGCAAAACTGTTCCTCTTCTCAATGTTTCTTTGCTAAAGAATCTGCTCCTGTAATTATAGAATTTTATGGTGCACTGATGATTATTAATCCATTCATGTATTCAACAAATTATGTTATTATTCACTGAGCACTCTGCAAGAGACTGGGGACAGAGTTGCATACTCAATGTTCCTAACCCTCAGGAATTAATAGTTAAGTAAAAAATATTACCCACACGCCACTAAACAAGGTACCACTCAAGTGCTATATGGAAACAAGCATTTGAAAAGCACAGATGAGTATTTTTTGGTGTGGTGATTCTGTGGCGAGGCAATTTTAAAGGCTTCAGGGATAGGGTAGGATATTGTGAGAGTGCCAGAATTTCTATGAAGCAATGAAATGAGGCCTAGGGTAATAAATTGTTCATCAAATTCACCATTTTTACTTTGAATCACTTTTGGATGGCTTTAGGGAACTAGTGAAGTTTATAGAGGGTGGTAGACCCATAAGCCTCTCTCCACTCATACCCATATTCCCACATCACAATGAGTATATAAGGTAATAAGTAATGATGTGTCAGTTATAAGGTTCCTAACATGAGCAAAGATGGAAGTGTCAAGTAATTTTAGGAAAGAGAAGATAGGTTAACATGGCCAGAATGCAGGATAAAAGTAACTAACTGGGGGTGGAAGAGAGAACCCGGGGTGGGCTGTGAGGACTCATGTAAACTAAGGGAACCAGATTCATCTTTCTTTTTGATGGTATTAGGCATTGAACTTGCTAGGCAAATGTTCTACAAAGTGGGCCACATTCCTAGCCCTTCTTTGCTTTAGCTAGTTGTAAATAGAGTCTAAAAGTGTTGGCCAGGTGTTGGCCTCACACCAGAACTCCTCCTATTTATATCTGCCAATTTGACTGGATTACAGGTTTAATTTCTTTTTTTTTTCTTTTTGGTTCTGATATTTGAACTCAGGACCTTGCACTTATTAGGCAGATGCTCTACTTCTTGAACCATGTTCCTTGTTTTTTTATTTCATTACTTTTCAGAAAGGGTCTTGCTTTTTTTTTTTGTGAGAATACTGTGCAGAGGAGTTACAATTACATGGGCAAGATAACAAGTACATTCCTTATCAAGCATTATGGCCTCCTCTTTGTTTCCCCTTCCCATCCCTTCCCATGTCCCCCCTTTTTCCTTGACTTGAATGGACTCTGATTCTCTTATTTGTGCTTCCTGTGTTGCTGTGATGACATATCTTGTCACTGAGGCTAGCTTTTTTATTGATTGACAAAGGGTCTCATGAACTTTTTGATTGTGATCTCAGCCTTACTAGTTGTTAGGATTATATGTGTGAGAAATTATATCAAGTTCCAGCTTGTGTTTTGAGATTCAAACTCACAAACATTTTGTCTGGGCTAGCCTTGAACTTTGATTGTCCCAATCTCTGCTTCTCCAGTATTTGGGATTCCTATGTCTCACCATACTAAGTGGAGACTAGATTTTTCATTTTAGCAGTGATATTTGAATGGCCACAAAGCTGGAGAGTGAAGATATTCACTTCCTGTTTTTGAAATAGGGAATTTGAGATAACTAAATAGAAAAAAGAACAGAATAAGAGAGACCAATCGGAGAGATGTTGCAAGAATCCAAGCATGAGATGATAATTACTGAACTGTATTGTCATAGGAATAAAGTGGAAACACCATAAATACTTTTATTTGAAAAGGTACAATAAAGTGATATATTCATTAATATTTCATTACAAGAACTTCTTCATTGAAATTCAACTGTACTAAACCTCCTAGCATTATGGCCAATGTTTAGTGTTATGTGTTGCAAATCATCACAGGATTGTTTTATCTGTTGTATCATACCCACAAGATCATATCCACAAGATGCATGTGCTGATGTAGACATTCAAAAGATTAACTCACTAGCTTAGGCCTTTATGCCATCACTAATGGTAACATACAAACACTGGCGCTTTCACATTATAGTAAAACAAAACACATCTTAGCATTGAAGGAAAGAAAAGGACAACAATCTTGCTTTGTAACAAGACTATGTATTTTAGACACATACTCACACACATGAAAACATTAAGAAACACCAAACATGGTCCTCCCATTCTTAGATTCTCAAGTAGCTAGGATTATAGGTGTGAGTCACTGGCACCTAACTTGAAAGACTTTTTGTATATTAGCATGACAACTTCTAAGTTACAGTACCTATTGAGCCCTTCATAATGTACTGGACACTATTCTAGTGATTTCATAAATGATATCTTGCTTAAACTCTAGAAAACACTTTAATATGAGTACTTCCTCCAAGAATGTCATCAATTTGGCTTTAGAGCTCTAGTGATCTACAGATCACTAGCCTAAAAGGTTATTCACCCCAATTCATTCATCCCAAATCCATAAGACTCTCCCCAATAGCTCAGTTATTCACATACTTTAGTGAAAGTTTCTGTTTGTAGGTGTGTGGATTGTTCTTGCCAGGTACAGATGGCTAACACATGTAATCCTAGATAGTCAGGATACTGAGATTCAGAGGATCACAGCTTAAAACCAGGCAGGACAAGAAGTCTTGAGACTCCATTTCCACCAAAAGCAAAAAGCAAGTCTAAAGTCATGGCTCAAGTGATAGAGTTCCAGCCAAGGAATCAGGATGAGTGAGAGACCCCTGAGTTTGAATGCTAGTACTGACATAAAAAAAAAGAAAAAAAAATCCTAGGAGACTTGAATCTAACAACAACAACAAAAGAATTAAATCATAAAAACTCGTGCTAAGTATGATTCAAAGGGAAAAAATGAACTACAGGGAAAGCCAATTTGAGCTGGAAAGACTTGCACTCTTAAGCAAGCAGACATGTGTAGCCACTTACGAAGCTGTCTGCTTACACGTTATTAAACATCTGTCAGCGCAATGGAGTGCCACATGCAAAATATAGTGTTCATGAACACTGTGAAGCAAATTGTTTCTACATCTTCTTTGATCCAGCTCAGAAACTAGAAAACTTTTCTTATTAGACTTCCAGCTTGTAAGTGACAATATCTATTGAGCCCTTAAGTTGGGAAATAAATGGACTTCACAGGTTGAATGTGGGCTGTGACTGCCTAAGTTGAGAATGCTTGGAAAGCAGCTCCCAAAAAGCCTGTGACTCACTTGGACATTAACATCTTTTGGGGGGAAAAAAACAAAAAACAAACAAAAAAATCCTGGCATAAAACCTACAGATTCTGCCTGAAGTACCAAAAAGTAGAAGATACTAGAGAGCTTTGTCTTAGTTTAGGACTGCAGACCTGAAAGCTGAAATCAACTTCACTGTTTCGATTTTTTAATACAAAATTATTCGGTGACATTTTCCCCTCAGAAAGTTCCCATCTCCAAAGTGCAAAAATAGTTGCTTTCAAACCTGCAGCGTTGGTTCTTCCTCTGAAGATGTCATCGTATGCTTTCCACTGGGGCTTCAGTTGGTAGGCATGGATGAATACCACAAACACCACCACCAGGCACATTAAAGGGACCAGAGCTGCGGTGAACAGAGCTGCATAGGTGTTTGGGATAAAGCACCTGGAAAAGAGCAAAGGAGAGATGACAACTCAGACAACTCCAATCCCAATGTTTCTCCACTTAGTCCATCTCATCTCATCACTTGCTGATAGCCATTTTCCAGACATTTGCAAAAGCAAATTCTTGGTTTGCCCCCAAATGGAAGCTCTGGGAGAGACCAAGCTTCATTATTAAAATCTACCCACTGCTTCACAAATTAAGATCTCCAGAATATTCATCTCTTAGGAAGTTCAGAAAACTTCAAGAAAAGGTGATGATCAAAATATTTAAGACTTGCTCACTGTGTGTTTCAGAGATTTGGGTCATTTAAAACAGCTTGTAGAACCAAAGCTAATATATCTATCTGGACTTAATAGTTCAGTGGCACTAAACTCCTGCACCACACCTCCAACGATTATCTAGAAACCTTTTTCAATTTGTCTTAAATAGGGGGTTATAATATTATTTACAACAGAGGTTAGCTGTGAAGATCACTGAATTCCTAGAAGCACAACACACACACACACACACACACACACACACACACACACACACACGTAGGTCTAATGTTCTTTGGAAGGGTTAGTTATGTTTGGCTTATGTTTCAAATCAGTTGGTGGATTATTCAAGGCAGAGCTCAAGGTCTCTTTCTATTTTCTCCCTCTCTCAAAATTCAAATCAAGACAAATATTAATCATGGAGGAAATGGTCCTGGGCTGACAATAGTTACTGTGCTATTAGTGTGCTGATCAGGCCCGAATGAACATCTCCTGACCTTGCTGGCTCCTCAGGTCAAAGGGCAAGGGCTGTGGTTGCTCCTGCCTAGGAGACCAGTCATTTTCCCTCTCTGGACTGTTCTCCCTACTCCCTGTTCTTCCCTTGCATTTTCTATCTTCCCTTCTCTCCTCCTTTTATTCCCTTCCTCCTTCTCTCTCTCTATCCCATCCAACTCCCAGATTTTCCTGAGGTGGGATAAATGCAGGAAATAAAGGATGAAGGATCACATAACCGCTAGGAAGCTGATTAGAAAGCATTTCTTCTCTGTGTTTTGCTAGCCCTTGTTTCTTGGTCTAAACCTCCCCTGAAAAGCACATGAGAGAACATGTCCTCTAAATGTGAAATGGAGGCTTCTCAGGGCTCACAGTCATCTCCACAGCCTTGGCTTTTGAGTAGATGACAGTTTGTCATGTCTCGACTACACATTTCCACAAGAGCCTTTCATTCTCTTGGAAATGAAGACACTTTTCCATTTAGAAGTTCCATTGCACAATTGTTTTTTTTGTCATCCCTGGAGTTTGCAAGGATTAACAGAGTCACATTATTATGTATACATAGTATGTATGTATGTATATATGTCCACGTGTACGCTTGCATTTCTATCACTCTAAAACCAAGAGAAAAATGGTCTTAAAGATATAATTGAAAATTTTCACTCATGGGACATAATGTCATCAGGTTCTTTAGATAGCATCTTAAACATATAAAAATCTCAAAATAGAAGACAATAATAGGTTGTCATTTTCTAAAACTGTACTTTGTAGGCATAGTCTTATAATGTTTACCACATTCATCACACTTCCTAAAAGTTACGACTATGTTGTTTGCTTCTTTGTCTTTCTTTTGAGAGTGCATCTGGTTGAATAGCTCTGACTGGCCCTAACTTGAAATCTTCCTCAGTCTTCCAAGTGCTGGGACTACAAATATATACCATAATGTCTGACCATTCTTTATTTCATTTTCTTTTAAGATAGGGTCTGGCCAGGTAGCTAGCTAGGGTGACCTTAAACTGGTGATCCTTCATCCTCCTGCCTCTGCTTAAAACTTTACTTTTAATTGAAAAAAAAAACATGTTTAATAAGCTTTGACTGAGGAGGAGGAGCTTTAGGGCCAAGAAGCACACAAATGGAGAAAGAAAGGATGGGTAGATACATGTCAATGTACATAAGTAAACCTGGAACCAGATAACTTGAGGGAATGATGGAGTTGGAAGAGATATGTGGCAGAGAATGGTGGAATGACAGTCAATGATTAAGATGTAGTGCACTCATAAATTGACATGTTGAATTTGAACCCTTTGTATAACTACTTAGGATAATTTTTAAAATCTTGATAGCACAATATATTTCATTTGCTTTATTATAATTACTTTATGCAGTGTTCCTCTAAGATATTAGAAACTTGCCATTATGCACTGAGGAAAAAAAATCTTGATAGCAAGGAATGCCCATTTTCTACTTTACAAAGTTCTTTCCATTATTTTTGATACATAATATCTATAAAGCAATATTACAACATTACCATGTAGATTTGAAGAAAACTCAAGAACAAAAAGTCCTCAATATAATCTGTTTAGAAAAAAAAGCCTCAAAATCATTGGGAAAATATTTATTCTTGAAAATTGGGAAAATAGTGTTTCAACTATCTATTTAACTACAGATACATTATTAAAAGCCTTAATCAGTTATCACTCTAATTAATATCACCTACTAAATGTATTCTTTGTGTAAACAAGACACATTTTAAAAGATATTTCAAAAGGTCCTCTGCATCTTCAAAGAGATGTCAGAATGATGAATTTCCTGGTTTTAGAATTGAATTTGGCTGACACAAAGACTAAATCCTTCCCCGTCTGCTCATCTGTAATGCAGTTAAGACCTATTTTTTCTAGTCAAAAACCTGTGATTAAATAAAAGAGGCAGACATTAATGGCCTCACTATTCAAAATGATCCTTTAGTGAAAGCTGTAAACATGCCAGCTGCTCATTATTTTGTACATTGGCTTTAAATGACGACTTATTATTATTTTTCATTTGCATGATGGATTCGCTGACTTAGATCAGCATAAAAGTGCTTAGATGAATCTAAACATGGACTAAAGAGGCAAACAAGTTTCACTGTCTTATATTTTCTTTTTTGTCTTGAAAAACACCATCACCATTCAGTTTGGGTATAATGGTAGAATCTATTATAGAAGTTGTTCTGAGAGTATACAGGTTTTGCATAGAGCACTATAGCTGCAAAATGACTGTCCAACATGCATACTCTCCCATGACAACCAATAGCAAGGTGCTCACCCATCTTCCTAAAACTTGCTCCTTAGCGAATAATCCCTGGAAGCTCTCATCCAAACAATGGTGACGAGTCACTTTTATTAAAGGATAAAGCAGGCACAGAGGCCATTCAGGAGGTCAGAAGTAACCAAGCTCGACCCTTCTCAGGAGGGGAGGAGAATCTCTGAAGTGTTAGTGCTCTTACAGACCTTTGCAGTTCTCCTTTTTGTCCATAACTTGATCGTGATGGCTCATTCTTTCGGAAAAGGGGGCAGGACAGTTACCCACCTGAAGCTCTGCTTTCCTCTGTTTCTTCAGAGCCCTGTATAACATGATATCCCCTGAGGTGGGCGCCCTGTGCTTGTCATGCACCCAGACCATGTGGTACAGATCGCAGAGGAGGCCTCTGTGAGGTGGGCAGCCTCCCCCCTTGCCCTCTTTATCTGAGGCCCTGGAATAGTGCACGCCCCCACTCCCCTGCTGGCCACACTTGTCAGCTGTGAGTCCAACTGTCTCCTCAGAGCAAGATCTCCTTAGGCTTAGGGACTGGGGACCCAACAACACTTTTGAAACACTACCATTTCCAAGTGAGGCCAGGCTATCAGGTTACCTGCCCACCCTCCACCCAAGTACAGATAGCAGCCAGAACTCACGAATGCTTTTCCAGTCCCCTGGAAAGCAGGTAGAACAAGCTACATCACTATACACCCCCAGATTACAGCTCTTATCCCTCCTTAATTTCATTTCTCATCTAACTCTTCTTTTGAACTTGTAGGCATTCTTCTCCTTTTTCAGCAGTATTTTCTGACTGGGATATCTACTGGTGTATAAAAAAAAGTTTACCATAGAAAGTACTTCAGATAAACAAACTCCATTCTACCCTTTAAAAATAGTCTCACCGGTCAGAATGGCTTTTAGTATAACCAAGTAAGAGATAGATTCATTTGAGGATGAGATCACATAAATAGGGGGTGCGGCATTCGGAAACTGTGAATATCATGTTAAGAGTAGTCTGGGAACACATTTGTGGAAACACTGAATGTAAGAAAAAGCAGACTGAACACTGTCCGCACACCAGGCTGTGGAAGTAGGTGAATAATTTGCTGGCAGCTATTCCTTTAAGAATCCATCTGGCCAATACAGAGAGACAAAGGCCACACTGATTTTCTTTCTTCAAAAGGGTGAGGAAAGAATGCTCCTTGGAATAAACAGCTCATCCAACTTCAAAGGAAATTTCTCTCTCCGAGTGTTGGACACTCTTGGGTTTTTTTAAATCACTTGCCTCTCTTTGCTATTTCCTCTTAAACTTTCTGAGGTGTTCCCCTCTCCCGCCCTTCTTTATGATTGCCCACAGTTCCAGTGTTTCAAAATCTTGTCAGGACTCCATTCCAGTTTTAGCCAGAGGAAAGAAGTAAATAGAGTTTTATTACTTTTAGATTTCCTTCTCTCGTCCTCCCTGGGAACATTCAGGAGGCCTGAGGTCACTTTCTAATTTAGGAAAGATGATACTTTCCCTCACTAGCATTTTATACTTGCAGAGATGTTTTCCCTCACATAACCTAGTAGAAATTTTATACAAAGTTATGTAGGTGACTTTGAAGTCTCACAGTTTCTTTCTTCCTATAAGAAACCAACTAAGGATCATCTCAGAAGCAGAGGCATCTGTCAGGGACATGACCTCCTCTAAGAAACCACTGAAAATATTGGGATGGAAGCAAGGAACTCACTGTCCATGACAGTGAATTGACTCCATTTAAATTATATTGTCAAGAACAAGTTGACCGTGGAAAGCTGAAAGGCTTGAGGAATCCAGGTAGATGATATCTGGGCTACATCTGGCCACTTAGGTAATGACAAATGATGTAGGTAATGAAATAGGAGTAAATGTTTCAGAGGTCTTCTTCGTAAGTACTTCTCAGGAAGTCAGTGAAGTCCACAGGCTCAAGTGCCAACATTCCTTGGAGAAGATCT